CTTCATTATTCGTGATTTACATGTACCTCTAGCACTATATCGTGAATTTGGTTTGCCAATAATTAATTGGAAAAAAACTTGGTTTCGCAGTGCACCAGAAGGTATATATATTTTGAATTTCTTATATAATAATTATTTTATTTCTAGTTTTTGCTTAATATATATACACATTATTTGTAGGAATATTCTTAATTGATCTTGGTTTACGTGAATATCCCACGCTTAAAACTATCCTAGAATTAGCCGCATCATCTGAACCAACGATTCGAGAAAAGGCTCTTAAATATTTTATTGATAATTTTAATGAAAAATATTCTAGAAGTTATGATCCAGCCAAGACTAAAGTTGCCTTTTTACCCTGTTTGAGCCCGGGTAGTTACGCAAAGCCTTTAGAGTGTTTTATTAACCCTGAATGTACGATCATGAACTTCCAAGCTGTACGTCAAGATTTACGGTTTAAAGTGCCACAGCTTGGTGTTCGTCAATATCCTAGTATTGAAGAACTCAAAAGTATGTTAACTAATTCTCCACCGCAAGATGTGAATAAGGCGAAAGAAATCTTTGAATTTCTGGCCTCACAACGGGGAAGCTTTAATTGGACGATTCTTGCTAGTTACAATTTTATTCCAATTGAAGATAAAACTCGACCTAGTGGAATAAATCGTACAAATCCACGTAATTGCTACCTTAATCGTTTTGATCAAGAAGAATGGTATATGATTAGTTTCTTATATATTTTTTTTAAAATGGTTTAAGGTTAACTTTTTAAAAGATTTTTTTTTTTTCAGTTTAAATGATTTTTTTACATTTATCGACTTTGGGGAAAAGGCCAATAAATTTCTGGAAAGTTGTGGCGTAAGAACCAAACCATCATCAGTAGAAATCGCCGAATTGTTAGTGAAATCATCACGTAATATTTGGAAATCCATTGGAAAATATGAAACATATTTATACATTTTGAATAGGATTGCCGCTGATTATCGGTATACAATAATCAATCAACCAAATTTGTTTGAAAAGATGAAGAAGGCACCTATTTTGGCGGCTATAAAACATGATGGTAATAATATAGAATACCAATTGACTTCAGCAAATAATATTTTCATAAATGACGACGAAGCATATCAAAAAGTTTTTAAACCGCTGATAGCTCCTGACAATGACAATCTGAAAACTATGTATAAGGTTGTGACTTATTTTTGCCTTTATTTCAGTTGATATGATTATTAATTATTGATTATTTCTTTTTCGATTCAGGATTTA